AGGGTAATCATGGACGATGCCATGACCAGCAACAATTATAAAACCTTCTTTAAGATCACCCCGCCTTGCCTGGGGCTCTCAGGAGCTGGATATTTTGGTTAAGAAAACCTTACCTAATTTAAACAGACTCCAATTCTGCGCAACTGTCATATTCATAATGTGGGGACCGACGACTTCGTGTCAATAAAGAGAGTAACAATCATTAATTGAAATAACTCAATATTCTTGGATCCGCTAGGCCGCGTTTTTAAGAAAACAGGACATGTGCGCTCAACACCATACATGCATGCATCGCGCCTCTTGAAGGTCACATACAGAACACGAAAATCTACTAAAAGCTAATCATATCTCAGTGAACCCTCGAGGTACATCCCAAAAACAAAAGCCATATAAATAAAACCATCTTTTTTAGAACCCAGCAGCAAGTATTTATTAATATTCCCTCGAATAACCTTTTTAACCCCAAAAATTATTGGGAAAGTAAAAACAAATTTTTTTTTTCCCAATAATATACTTTAACGTTGCCATGTGATAATGATATATCTCCCTATTTGCAGAGTTTTATACCCAATAACGTTTTACCAATTTTGTCGGGATATTCATTATATATTATATATTATGTCATCATCTGATCGTCATCACATTACTATTTTTTGATTTTTTTTAATGATAGTTAAATTTTTGCATTCATGTTACACGAAACTGAAAACACCTTTTGAGGTTTGAAATGGCACTCTGGACAAAAAGCAACCTAAATTTTAATTTTTGCAGTTTTTACTATATTGATTTGTAAAAGTTTGCAATTTTTCAGCAAATACATTTATCAAAAAGTCAGAAATATTTTATTATGATCCATAATTTTTATTGTTTACAATAATTTTTGGCCATTTGACTTTGAGCCTCAAAAAGTTTGAAATGGTCATATTACAGTCAGGGTTGTTACCAAATATGGAATTTCTAAATACTGTAATTATAAACAATCAAAACAAAAATGATTGGCTAATTTTATGCCGATCTTTTCTTTGGAAAAAAAATAATTAAAAATAATGCTTTTTTGTCAAGAAAACTTGGCAAAGGCTTTATTAAATGGGCATATAACCTCCAAAATTATGTATTATGTTTATTTTTGACTGCTTTATGAGTCTATCAAAAAATAATCAATAGCTTCAAATTATAATCATAAAATTACCATAAAAACTCAATAACTTTTTCATAATGGTTAAATATACTGATGAAATGTTTGAGTTATCATTCATCAGGAATCTTGTTATTAAAATTAATAAAATTAATAAATAGTATCATGAAATATATTATAATTACAAATTAATTTGTAAAATTTTTGTATATAAATAAAGTCCATGACAAACTTTGTATATGTATGTATATATATTTACTTCTTTACCTGCTTATCATTCATTTGTTGTTTGTGAGTCAGATTTACATGGCCACAGTTAATTCTCTGGATATTTGCCACTACATCTTCAAACAAACATTTTTAAATTCTTAGCTAGTATTCACCATCATGGGTATAATTAGAATTAAAGATCTGGGCACTGTACTAAAAAAAAATATAGCAAATAATCAAAAATTCAAGCCAAACTATGGCTCATATTGAAGGAAAAAACTAATGTGTGATCCTTTTCAGATGAAGATGGAGTAATAAACTATATATTCAAGAGAATATATTAACTCTTTTTTAAATAAAATTTTCTATGTAAGATTATTGGTTTTTGGTATTCAAAAAAAAATCTTTGAATGGCCAATCAAAATTCGAAAAACAATTTCCATAAACTTACTTCATTAAGAGAATTGGTATGGTAGTTGTTTTATTTAAAATAGCCATATATTAACAAGATTTGAAGCTTTTGATCAATTTTCTGTATGTTTGGCCTGTTGTGTGATGTAATTTCAACCATTATGACTTCATGTATATTTATTTACAATATAATAAAATTAATATAATTAAAACTCATAACTAAGAAGTTATCAATGTTTTAATATTATTTTTTCTATTCTAGCAGCAAAAAAAAATCTCATTTTTTCAGAAATACATTATTTAATCATAAAGCCAAAGGAAAAAAAAACAAATAGAAGTGATTACTATGTATGGGTATTAATAAAAGAGAGGGCTTTTTTAGAAAAAATGATGGTGATTATCAGTCCACAACTTGTCATTTCAGTTCTTTGAGCATGATTGTCATTGTATTCTCTTTGACAGGTCTTAAATTTTTTAAAAAAAAGATTATCATTATTATCCTTATTATCAGTGCCATCATCACCATCTATATCCTCTCCACTATCTTCTGGTTCAGAACTTGTTAAAAAAGCAGTTTTATTAATAGATCGATTAATGTAAGTTCAATGACATAATAAATTCATAGATCCTTCTTTTAATTATTATTAACATTATTTCTCTCACCTGAAGCTCCTCATAAACCAGATTATGTGCCAACTTGTGAGCTTCTTAAGTTATTTGGCTTGTGAATTGCTCATGAAGAGCTTTTCTTCAGGACTCAAAGATTAATTTAGAATATGACTCAGATTGCTTGAACATCATTAAATTTTTTTAATGAAGGATTTGGACACCTGTGAAATAATAATATTTCCTTAGATATCAATTGTTTCAAGTTATACTGACATCTTAATCCTGCCCAGAAATAAATTTGTTTATCTGTTGCTACATCTCCAATTTGGAGGTAGGTTTCATCACATTATAATATTATATATATACAGACTTGTATAATGTATGGAGTTGTTCACCATCAATTAAGCAATCCTGCAAATTTATATTTAGCAAATCCTATCATTCTTACATCCAGAAGCAACAATTTGCTTATCAGTGGCTCTACATGGGCAGTATATCTACTCATTGATCTAATATTTTGTGTGCTCAATATATCCCATATTTGAGTAACACCATTACTCTAACCCTATAGAAAATATATTTATTTTTGCATCAATGTAATTAGAAAATCATTTAATCTCTTCTGTGTTTGTATTCATGTTGATTTAACCCTAATATCATTCTTTACAAATACTACAATTTGCTAATTCCATGTCAAATGTTCTACACAAGCAGTATGCTCATTAATCTAATAAATTTATGTACTCAATATGTCCTGTATTTAAGTATCAGCATCACCCAATCTAGTGTTCCATGTCGCAATGCAAAAAAGGAAACCAAAGTGGTCGCAAAGGTGGTTGAAACCAGGTGTTGCAAACCATTTTATATGTCGCAAATATGGTTGCAACCATCACCAAGAATTGCAACCAGCATCTATAACCCGATCCAATAGTTAACTGATCTCCAAGGAAGTTTTCAATTTTTATTTATACTATTATCAGTATTATTATAAAGTCATCCATCTAGACTTCACATCAGAAATTAACATCTTGATCCGATCTTAATATCAATCTTCCACATAAGCAACAATTGCTTGTTCTATGTCAATTCATTGATCCAATCTCATTTATGCACTCAATATGTCTCATATTTGAGTATTGCCATTACTCCAATGAAGACTGGAAATATATTTTCTATTTTTATTTCTACCATCTATTATTATTATTAGAAAGCCATCTATCTAGCCATGCACTCCAGAAATTAACATCTTGATCCGACCTTAATATCATTTTTCCAAATAATACATTCTTACATCCAGAAGCAAAAATTTGCTTGTTCCATGTCAAAGATTCTACACAAGCAAAATGTCTACTTGTTGATCCAATCTTTTGTCACTCAATATATCCCATATTTAAGTATCGCCATCACTCAATCCAACAGTTAACTGATCTCCAAGGAAGACTGAAAGTCATCTAATCTCTCCTGTGTTTTTGCAATTTGCTCATTCTATGCCAAAGATTCCACATGTTAATATGTCTACTCATTGATCTAATATTTTATGGCACTCAATATATCCCATATTTAGTATTGCTATTATTCAATCCAACAGTTAATTGATCTCCAAAAAAGACTGAAAATAAATTTTCAGTTTTTATTTTTATTATCAATAATATTATTAGAAATTCATCTGTCTAGCCTTTATACTCCAGAAATTAACATCTTGATCTGATCCTAATATCATTCTTCCAAATACTACATTCTTACATCCAGAGGCAATAATTTTCTCATCAAAGGCTCTACAAGGGCAGTATGTCTACTAGTTGATCAATCTTTTATGCACCCAATATTTGAGTATTGCCATCACTCAATCTAACAGTTAACTGATTATTAAGAAAGACTGGAAATATGTTAAGCCTGAGAAGTTTGAAATCATCCTTTCCACTTTGCGTGCTTAGCATGTAAAGTTTGCAGTTGCCCAGCTTGAAAATTACATACCTGATGTAGTTGATTAAAATTATTTGTAATGGTATTTATTTGACCATGTAAATTATTTGCATGATTAGATAGACTACCAAGTTGCTGATAATGGACTTGTGACTGAGTGTTTTCCCAATCAGTTATTTCTTTTATTCTATGTACAGAATCATTAACAATTATAATCTTATTTAGAATATCTCTTTGATTCCAAGCTGATGTTTGAGGGTTTCTGACATAATCATCTATATGCCCATTGTTATCAAGAACTTTGTCATATAGATCAATTAACTCATTTGGAGCAGGTGGTTGAGGAGTATTTAATGCCATTTTTCTTTGGTGCAATGTAATCTCTTTTATTCTTGCTTTAAGAGTCAAAATCTTATCTTCAAGTGCTATTAATTGATTATCCCTGGATGTAAACCTTCTTCCTTATACTTAACATCTTTCAAAGTTTTCTTGAGTTGTATTGATAGCTCTTTTTTCTCTTTTTCAAGGTATCTATTTCATCCCCCTTAAAACTAGCAAATTTCCTAAAAGATTGATTTCTCAATTACAGTACTCAAGATCTCGTTCTAGGGATTTAATTCTAGCCTTATATTCAGATATAATCTCATCATCTTCTGCTAACTGTTTGCATAATTCTTGATTTGTTCTGATAATTTCTTCCATGATATTTACTATGGATTTACAACCACAAATCGTAATTGATCCAAAAGAAGAATTAAGAATAGTCCTCAGGATGATTTATTATAAGCCTGAAGGATATTATAGATCATGTAAAAATTTATATAACATAACTAAAAAACATGGATTTAACTTCTTTTATATAGATGTATGTGAATGGCTATCTAAACAAGCATTATATCGAATTTACGCACCAAGACCTGGGTATATTCCTAGACCTTCATATAATAATGTGGGACGTCCTAATGTGCTTCACTTTACTGATGTCCTTTACATGCCTTGGGATAAGATTAAAGGGAAGGTCTATAAATATGTGCTATCAATAGTTGATTGAAAAAACAGCAAAACATGTAGCTAAGGCATTTAAGAAAGTATACTCGAATTCAAATATTCCTCTTGTATGGCCTAGTACTCTTCAGGTAGATAGAGGAGGTGAATTTATGGGTGAATGCAAGAGACTTATGATAAAACATAATGTTAAAATTCAAGTTGTCTATTCTAAAAGAACACAAGGTAAAGTTGAAAGATTTAATGGAACTTTGGCTGAAAGATCATTTTGAGGTCAGTACTTGCTAGTGGAGGCGTTTCAAAGGCTTGGGTTACAGATAACACTGATATCCTTATTGCTATGAATAATGAAAAAATGCGTCTACTTGGTATGAAACCTGCTGATGCTATCAAGCTAAGAAAAACGCCTAAGGCAAATGAATCTTTACCAGCTAATAGACCAATTGGTATGGGCTCCCTATTACTTCAAAAGTTCGGTATCTTTTACTTCCTGAGAACCTTGAAGGAAATAAGAGACGTCAAACTGACCCTAACTGGACTTTATCCATTTTTAAAATCAATCAAATAATTGTTGAAGATGAAAACCGGTTTTATATTACCTAAAAAAAAGGAGACCTAGATTCTGATATCTGGGTTCCTAAACGATCTTTTGTTTGAGAAGAACTCTTTGTTGTTCTTCCTGATACTGAATTACCACCAAACATATGATTAAGTTAGTATTAACTCCAAGAAATTGCATAATTCCTCATCACTATACTTGATTTCTTCTACATTGTCATTTGGATCCTGGATCTTGTAATGGCCATAAGCATAGCTATTAATTCTGTCATCTAAGATCCATTTCTTTGTATCAAGTGGACATAGAACTTTTTTTGTAGATTTTGTTAGATATATATTATGATTTTCTACTCTAAGTCTGTATATGTTATCTGTAGTGTACACCTTATTATCAAATAGACAATCTCAGTACATATCTATAGATAATTCCTCTTTTACTACATTTTTCGGTATACCCTTAGCCTTTTTAGTAATTTGTCTATTCTCGATCTCAAATGCGTACATCTTGGCTCTTAGACCTATAAATTCTCACATTGAAGTTCCACAACATTCATCTTTGAATTTACCTATGGCTGCTTTATTTTCCACATTGTATAGAGGATGAGTCTTAGGATAATTACTAAAATCAAATAATTGTGAATTCTTAGCCATATCTTCATACACTCACTGGTCATAAATATAAGGACACTTGCAGATCATTGGAAATAATTGAATAAAGAAACATGAAAAAAAATAAAAATTTT